AATCATAGAAAGAGTATACAACAAGCTACTCTTACAACTTTAGTTATTGTTTATTTTAAATAGTCTGTCTAAAGGTTCTATACTAGTTGCTATACCTAGAACCTGCTTATAAGTTCTCTATCTAAATACTCTAGTTCTTATATTTACTCTTATTCTATTAATTGCAGTGTTAATCTGCAAATATACTATGGTCACTAAGTTATGTTTAACTTTATACTAAGTCTACCAAAACCTTCTATATTTTCTACTTACAGCTAACCCAATACTGCTCTGGTCAAGGCCATCACTTGTAGTTAGAGCTAATCATTAAACTGCTATACCTTTGTAAAGTTTACTAGAATCCTAATATTTTTCTTTTTCAACATTTTCTTTTTAGTTTGAACTTATAAGATTTTTCAGACTACTAATTTAGATGGCTTGGTATGATATCCTAAGATTCTTTTCTTTTAGTAATTTTTAGTGGCCTGGTTGGTATATGCTCTTCTATACATATTGTTATCTAATCTATTCTAGTTATTTCTTTTAAAGCTTTCAATAATCTGGTAGTAATGTTAAAAGTTTATGCTACTTTTTTATTTAGAATTTCTAAGTAGATTTCTGTACTCTAGTTTCTTAGTATTATATACCTAGTAGTCTTATTATAAATTTGCATCAAAGTTTTATACAATACTAGTTATTTAATATTTTTTTATTTATATATAATATTATATTTTGCATAGATGCTTTGAGTTTCTATTCAAAATAATGCATCTAAGATTACAGATTTTCTTCTTCTGTCCAACCAATCAACAAGACACAGTTACTATAACATAGATATAATTATTCAAAGTTTGTCATTTATAAGATTTGAACACTAGATCTGCTACTTAGGAATTAACAACTTATTCACTTTACTAGATTACCACATCTCTTAAAAATAAATAAATTAATTATAATAATTAATAAATTTTATTATTAAAATATATTTTATTAAAATTAAAACAAACTTATATTTAACATTCTAATTTTATTACAAATACTCAAAAACTTCTTTTGATAATCTTTTGCATCAATTTTTTCACTATAATTAGTATATTATATATAATAAAACTTCATTATATAGTATCTAAGTTCAAGAATTTCAGATTGCATATAGGTAATATAAAAAAGAGTTGAAAAAACAGCTTTTTATGAGTTTGGCTCTTTGGTAAAAGTTTATAGAGTTATTAAAAAAGGAACTTTAGTTATAATCAAAAAACTTTTTGTCAAGCTACATCTAAGCAATAGTAAAAATAAAAGTCTAATTGAATATATTATTCTATATAATATAAACTTTTATATTTATTATAATTAGTACTCTAGAAAATTTTCTTCCTACATTTTTCCAAAAAATTTTTATTAAAAAATGAACAATTTAACTTATTCTTATTAAAATTAGCATTGTTATCTTTTCAAATCAGGATTGTTTATTAGTTCTATTTGAAAGAGCCTATATTGTAAATAAAGTATTAGTGTTAAGGTAACCTTTTTGGTTTTTTGATTTTTATTAATAACTTTTAGTAATATAATTCTATGAACTACTACAAAAGAATATACAATTGATATATATATAACTTTTCTATATTACTTATTTAAGAAATCTATTTAAAGATTTTTTACCAATTATCATATCTAATACCTCTGTTTGGATATTCTACTTTAAGTTCTTTGAATCTGTAATTTGTATTAATTAATTAGGTTATATCCAGATATTCAGATCACTGTTTTAATTTTAGAACTATTTTATTCTTAAGATAAACTTCTAGAACTTTTTATATCTATTTTTCAACTGACCTAAGTATTACTATAATAGAACCAACACTTATAATCAAAACTTAATTATTAAACTACTATGCCTTTGTAGAATTTACTTAAACCTTAACATCTATTTCACAACATAATCTCAATACTTTAATATACTTCTAAATTTCATCAGACTCTTAATTCAAATGGTCTGTATAGGATTATAATCAATCTATTAATATATTAGATTAACTCAATATCCTTTTTTTCTAACTTATTTCAGTAATCTAATTGGTAATACCTTCAAAACTCCCAATCCAGAGGTTCTTGTTTGTCTAGTTACTAAGACCTTGATATCTATTTTTTTAAGTTAACTTTTACAATAATACTATCAAAGATCCAACTACCTCTCTATTTGGATCTTTCCAAATAGACTTCTTGTTACTCAATTTCAACAAATTTACCTGATTACAAAAACTTATCTAATATTTGTATTACCCAATTGTTAGTTTGCATTCCTTTGCATAACTTTAATATTACACAAATGTCTTATAACCTGTTAGTTATGCTAATGTGATTATTATTATAAATATCCTATTCTAATTATTAGTAACAGTTGCTATAATATGAATATTACATAAGTGATTATCCAAATTTTTACTATTGATGGGATTTGAATACCAAACCTACCACTTGAAAGGTTAACAACCTGATTACTTTACTAGGTCATCATACTCTTACCAGATATTCTAAAAAGAATAAAAACAGTTATATATATAACAAAAAAAAAACTAAAATAAGAAAACTGAAACTTATCTGTAAACCAATTATAAATTTTTTTAAAAACCCAAAACTCAACTTCTAATACTATTATCAATGCCATTTTAATGTTTTTGATAAAATACAATTTTAAAAAAAAATTAGTAAAACCAAAAAAATAAACAAAACAATATAAAGAGAATTAGAACTAGTACTTATTATTATACTAATTACAAGTTTTTTTTATTTAAAATCTCAAGTTCATATAAAATCTAGAAGAGAAAAAAAAAACAAAAAAAAAACAAAAAAACTAGAAACTAATTATTATTATTTAAGATCAATTATTTCAAATATTATTTTATATTTTTAGTAAAACAAAAAGAAAAAAAAAGTCAATAAAACCAAAATGAAAGAAAACAAAAACTAGAAACTGTAACTTATTCATAAATCAGTTCTCTAGAATCTAAGCACAAACGTTTACTAATACCTTAATTAATAAAAAATAATTTTAATAAAATAGAATATTACTAAACTTCTACGGTTTATTAATTAAAAATCTTATAGTGTTTTTATTCATAATAGACTCACCTTTTACAGCATAATGCAGCATAATGCAACCTGATTACTTTGTAAAGACACTCGCCGAAGTTATTTACTTAGTAAAATAATTACATCAATATTTGTTTTTTTAAAGCCTATTTGTTAAATTTGTGATTTTACAATACTATGCCATATAAATACTTATGTAACGATGATCCGGAATATATCGGATTCGAATGTCCCATGCTGGTTTTTGCGGAGTTTTTTATTGGTGAAACGTTGAGTTCCCAAAAAGTACTTTAAAGTATATATAAGTAAGTTACCCGGGCAATTGATTTATATCAGCCAATCAGAAGAATGTCCTCCTATGCATAAAGCCTACATTTAGGGATGGATCGGTCCTAGTAAAGACCGAGGACTGAACTAATTCTCAGTCCTTGGTCCGTAATCGTCCGTTAATAAAAAATAACAGAAAAATTTCTTGCCTCCAGTTTCTAATGTTTCTCAATATGCTTCACATATAAAAAATATATTTTTTACATTTATATGTATTTAACAATTTGTCTGCGGTAAGCGTCGAAAATTTCTTAGTATTAAATTAGCTCCACGTATAAAATATATTTTTTATATTTATATGCATTAACAATTTGTTGGTTAATAAATAAAAATTTTAAAGATAGGCATTGAAAAATTATAAATTGTAAGAACGATTCTAGGACCAAAAGACGATCTGACCGAACTAATAAATACTATAAAATCTGTCCAAATGGGACCGAAACCGACCAGGATGGACTGACCAATCCCTAGTAGTACCAATTGTTTCTTAGCGCTAAAAAAAAAATAATAACTAAATATATCTTTTGAAAAAAATAAGACATCCATTTTTCAAAAGGATTAGTAAAATACTTGTAATCTTGAAATAGTGATCAGGGCATTAATAATACAAAAAACATATTACGTAACAATATGAAAGAACATGCATTGCTTATTAGCTAATTGAATATTTTCTGTATGAGTTCGGCTAAGGGAAGACACCGATCCTGTTTTTTTGATAGACTCGGCTGTGATCTGAAACATATGTGATACGTAAGTAATAGTTATACACTGAGTTCTATGTATAATGAAAATTCTGCTTATCACATATGTTTCGGATCACGGCTGAGTCTAGCAAAAAAACAGGATCAAGGTTTTCCCTTAGCCGCACTCATGAATTCTGTGCCAGGTTGTGGCGCAGTCATGCAGTTAACAAAAAAATTTAAAGTTCATTGTAATTAGGGGTAGCGTTTAGGATAAAATTAGAATTTAGTGGTTATAAAGTAAATTGCTCAAGGAAAATTTTTATTAGGTGCAGATTTTTTTCTGATCGTGTTACGTTATACTGCGATCCTGAAATCTGATTTGCTGTTTAGGAACCTGCGCCACAGAATTCTAGAATTCCTGAATTCATGCGTGAAAAATTATCACGCCCAGAACCTACGCCATTTTCTTACATTTCACTATCACTTTCCTCATTTTGCTTTCTGTGCTTCCTTTTTTTGCTTTCATTTATCCAATAAATTGGTTGATTTTTGATGTACAACAAAACATAACGTTTTAATGCTTATATACGTAAAACAATCGGTTTTCTTTTTTTTCAGATTAATAATTAAAACAAGTATCAAAATAAATTACAGAAATCATATCTGCATATTATTTGAAGTTTCGTAATTACGGATTAGGGTGTTTTTGTTTTTGTTAGCGTTAGATTTTTTTTTTAAGTTTTTTAATTAACACAGTATTTAGATATTGATTTATATATATATTTTTTTTACATATCTGAACATTAGAAACAGCAAAAATTAGTTTTAATTTAATTTAATTTTATTTACATTACGATTGTGTTTTATATACATCATATACAATAATATATATATATATTATACACGTACTATCTTAATTCTTTATAAGGATCGGTAATTTTCATCTGTACGTAGCACAGATGAAACCATTTTTATCGTCTTGTAACAAAAACAACAATAACAATAATCGTAAGTATAATAAGAAAAAGTATGATAGAAAGTATGCACCAAAACAACATAGTAGGACGGCCATCAGAAAATAGTGGCATAGTCCAAATTTGGTTTAAACTTTTAATCTGAATGAAACTACGTTTATGCTGTGAACTATTTGATACATCAACAGTTGGTTGTTTGTTATTATCTATCTGTATTTGTGTGCTTGACGGATCAATAGAATTTTGATCAGTTTGGGGAGGAAGTGGAGGTAATTCTTTATAAACCCAACTTGCAGAGGATGCATTGTAAGATTGCCGCAAAGTTTGTTGGTAATAATTACTGCTTCCTGAAGAGCTGGACATATTATACGGTTGTATGTTAGATGGTGACGTGAAATATACCGGTGGTTGAGTGTTTAATGGATGAGCGACGACAGGATGAAGAGGGGAAGAATACTTGGTATTCTGATGTGGGACAGAGCTAATATTTTGAAGTGGTATAGTAGTAGTATTGAGATTTTGAGGAGAAACAGATCGTGATACAGTATCATTAACATCCGATATAGTACTAAATTGAGTATGAGAAATTTTCGATGAATCTTGCTGTTGTTGATACGTAACAGATTGCGAAATGGTTTCTATATTACTTGGGCTATATGAACGTTGGTCAACTACAGTTGTTACCGTGTTATCCTGAGTTTCATCAAAGGCTGGTGAACTCACTTTATTTGATTGAGAATCATTGACTGTAGAAAGTTTAGTTGAATCGGAATAACTTGCTTGAACATTTTTTTCCGCAGAATCTGGAGAAATTTGTTCAAGAGAATAGGCATCTTGTTGAGAAATGTTTTGTCCGAATTGTTCATGTTTTGTCTCTGTAGGTTCATGAGATTGTGATGGACCACTGATATTTTGGTCTTCACCCAAATTATGTTTCGTTTCTATAGGGTAATAAATCTGTTGATGCTGTTCCTGAGGTTGTGATTGTTCACCGATATTTGGTTCATCGTTCAAAGACTGAGTATATTCTTGAGCTTTCTCTTGATTTTTCTTATCATTCAAAGACTGAGTATACTCTTGAGATTTCTCTTGAGTTCTCTTATGGTTCAAAGACTGAGTATACTCTTGAGTTTTCTCATGAGAATCACCGATACTATCAGTTTCCATTTGTTTTTCATTAGGTAAATGAGAGTCATTATTATTATACGACATTATTAAATGAACAAAAAATATAGACAGACTAAATAGAGAAACTTTATCAATACTTTTTTTTAATCAGCTGAATTTGTTTGTAACATTATTGACACAAGATCAAAGAAAAGCCTGTATATGCTAATAATAACTAATGGATTTGACGATTTTAGAAATATACAGGATAGCAATAAATGTGTATCATCTGATCAGTTTCCTTTTAAATTTGAGTTATCTCACTCAAATTCTGACATTAACTCAAGTGCATGTTAATGTATTTTTGTGAGATTAGCAATACATGTAATCGGCATCACTTAATTTTACCACATCATTTTTTTTCAAAGTTCCTATTGGTCGCAGAGATGGCATATGTACGGTACATACATCATGCAATTATAGCAAATCTATATTGGTAAATCCTTCCCAAATTTTCTTCATTCCATTTTTAATTTTAAAAACGCCTTAGAATTTAACTTAAACTTTCGAAATTATGGCGCTCTACAAAAAGGCATGACCTTGTGATAATAATAGTGAGGAATTGCTAAATTGCCTGTCAGTCATATTTAAAGTCACAAGATAATATAATAATATGATGATTATAATTATTTTATCACAATTTATACTTTTATTGGTTTGAAAAAAAACTTTATTGATAATATTTGTCGCGGATGATCGTAAAATCGGATGATGATGAAATCTGATGTCTCGATTTTAAATTATAAGCCCTGCTAAAATCCATATACTTTTTAATTATAAATTTTAACCCTAAATCCTAACCTAATCCTAAAAAAAAAGCGATAAAAAACACCCCCAAAAAAAGGTTAAAATTTTCATATTAAAATATGTCCAAATTTCAGCATCATCCAATTTTAGCATCATCCGTGACAATATTTAATAGTAATACGTATAAATCAAACACTATTTTACTATTTTGAGACATTAAATTCCTTCAATCGAATAATGAATAAACCAAATAAACTGATGACACAATATATAATTGAATTTTTAATTTAAAGTACAACTCCTCGAATCTAATACGTATGCATGGTAAACAGCTTTCGTATCAGTAATCGGATATTAAGATACAAATGGCTCACCGATCACATGATACTAAATAAATATAGTTGGCTAGATTATATCACAACAGGGCGAAACCGCGAAAGCAGGGTTGGCAATGGATTATGTCCATTAAAAATAAGTTTGTCAATGGATCTCAATGGACCAATGTTACAATCCATTCATCCATTGTTCCATTAGTATAAGTCAGAATAAGGCGAACACCAAAAAAAATCTCGAATTTCATATGGTATAGTATTCTAAACTCATTTATAAAAGCTACATAATTATTTGACCTACTTGTCCATTGGAATAGCGACTGCCCAATGGAAATGGTTAATGGACTTGAGGCCCATTCATATCAATGGACAAATGTGCCACTCTGCACGAAAGTGGTTACGTTATTGATCTAAAACAGTAAGATCTGAATCAATAACGTAACTACCTCCGTCATGGATTTTACCCTTTTACATATATATATATTTATTATATATCTATTCAGTTACACTAGTGAATTGACTCAACAAAAAAACCATTACTCAATTATTGATCAAAAAATTTTTTGCTTAATCAATCAAAAATCAATTATATAAACTTGATCGTGTATGGTCGATCAATCACATAATTTATGAGCTCGAATATATATATCGATTAATAATTAGGTTAATAATTGATCGATTATGTTTAAAATCTTCAATAAGCTTTACGTGAAACTTTTTATTCCTTGATTCTTCTGTAAAAATTGTTGAGAGTTGAAGAATATTAGTATATATAATTAGTATGATAAACACACTTTTAGCAAAGACTCCATTTGTATCTCATACACGTCTACTGCCAGTAGAAAGTCTTCAAAGTTAATCGGGTCGGGTCCAGGTCCGGCCGTTTGACCCGACCCGGTTAACTTTGAGTAGGGTTGTTAATGGAGTTCTCCAATTATAGTTGTTCTCATAAATTCTGGGACAATTGATAAAAATTGATCGGCCAGATTCGATGAGTTTTTGAATTCGGTGTTATCGAATTACTGTAATGCCGAAAATCCAATTTCGATAACACCGAATCCAAAAACTTATCGAATTTGGCAGATCAAATTTTTATCAGTTGTCCCAGAATTTATGAGAACAGCTGTAATAATAAAACATATAACCCACTCTGGAGCACTCCAGAAGCGGGTTATATGTTTTATTATTTTCTGGAGTAGTCCATGAATATTCCACGGCCTATATATTCGCCCGTGAACATTTATGATGATATTTTTATGATGTAATGCCGTGAAATTATTCCACAGGCATGACATCATCAGTAAAAATTTTTAATCAGAAATGTTATGGGTATATGACCATGAAATATAACAGATATTCCACGATGTGCCGTGACATCATGCATTATCACGGCTTCTCAGTGCTAATTCATGATATGAGCGCGTGAGAGTGAAAACCTGAAAACCGATCATTAAATCGGTTTCCAGGTTTTCACTCTCACGCACTCATATTCAATATCGGCTTAAGCATCAATTGTGAAACACCGTTTATATAGCCTTCAAAATTTCAAAAATCTACCGGGTTTTTTTCTCCCACCCTAACCATAATATAGTCGAGTCAATTCACTAAGTCACACAAAGCCCCGATCTAATTCAATCAAATCAATTTTGACAGGAAGAGTAAACTGTAATAGTAAATAAAGAAGTTAAAAATTTTTGAATTGCCGAAGTGACTTTAAATACCTCAAAAACGTTATTATAAAACAATGGAAAAATATATCCTAAAATTCTTATATAAAAAATATTGGCAAACATTTTTCGAAATATTTTTTATTAATAAATTATTATTTATCTTTTAAGAATAATAAAGTGTATAATGAGAATGTGAAAAGAATCAAAGTATGGAGAAAAATTAAGGGGAAAGAGTCCTTTATATAACTTCTGAGATCTAAATAACTTCGTGATTTACCCCTTAAACGCGTACCTTCTGAAATCGTATGTTGCACATATAAAGAAATTTTATCTGATCTTGAAATCAGTTGAATAGCGATTGATGTGTTTCACGTGACTGTAGAAATTTGTGAAATGAGATTGGTCGCTAATCCAAATAAGTTATAAAAAGAAAAGGTAATTGAAAATGTTTTAATCAAAGATAGATATGAAGTGTATTAATAAACATTTGCAAAACTTAAATTTTTAGCAAAAGAGATGCATCACAAAAAATCAATTTTTTTGCTCGATAGTTTCGTATTAGTCCGGATTCAATAAACAAAATAAGTGAAGTTCATAATTATTAATTGTTTATTGAAAAGATTGAAATTCATCCATTAGAGTGATGCAAAACACATGACCGCCATTATGTGTTCTATGACAATTTTATTTTGTAACAAAATTATTATATACAATAGTAGAAAAAAGCATTTAGGAGAAAAGAACACAACTCCTTAACATTGGCATTTACTTTATTATAAGTATCAATTCATATGTGTAACAAAGATATGAATCATTTAGGACAATAACACAAAAAAATACATATATTAAGTTATTAAACAATAAACTCTTCCTCATCAGGATCAGGTCCTGCAGGTAAAAATTCCTCACCAGGACACATCTTTTCGAAAAATTGCTTTGCTTGAATAGTAGCTTCCTCAAAATCTAGTGAAGAATCCGGATCTCCTGCAAGAATGATATTCTCGGGTACTTCTGAAGAAATGGTGCGCTTTTTCTGTCGGTAGAATAATGCGAACAACGGATTCGGTCTAGAATCTAATTATGCATCAAACATTTATTAAAAATATTAGTCATTATTTATAATAAAGTTTTCTTTTACAATCGATTAAAAAAAATACATGCCTTTATCCTTGTTAATTGTGAAATTAACCAATTTATCTAAAGCGTTAATCAAATCTTCTTTGGCGTTCTGACCGTTCGCTTTCGTGGACAAGTATAAAACGTCTATCCATCATCGATAAAGAAAAATGGATAGCTGTGAATATAATACTTCATCTTTTGATGTTATATGACCCACATGTGATAGATAAACAATGAAAGAGCCTCGAATAAGAAGACATCCAATAAAGACTAACATCTGTCTTCAGGGCATGTTTGCGTTCCAGCAGATAATTGGAGCACGGTTATAGGATATTTATTTTTCACTGTTTCTGGTGGATAAATGGTTAATGATGCATCACCGCTTTCTTCATGTATAAATTTATCTATGATCACTATCGCACGTGACGTTGTTTCCCTATATCAATATTAAAGAGTTGATATTGTCGACGATTCGACAAGATGTTGAAATTATTAGTACAATTTAATACATACCAACACTCGTTGCCTTTAAAAAATATTGGTGGAAGGTAATCGATAGATGAGACCAAAAAAGTAGATGATATTTGTTGATCATTCACATCTACTAATCCCGTAAACTTGTTCGAACTTTCATCAATCAAAAGATGTTTTACTGAATGATCAAGCATATAAATTCCACCATATACTGCACAGATTCTAGAAATAAAGATTTTAATAAAGCAATTTAAGCAATATTCTTTCTACCTAAAGTCTTATGTTGTGGCAAGAAGAAAAAACAAGATATCACACCTACAAAACCCTTGTGCTATTTCGCTACCACAACCATATAAACCAACTAAAAATGCTGTATTACCATATCGACCAAGTGATCTAAGATATCTTTGTGTTTTTTCCAAGCCTTGTATGGTGTTAACTAGTTTTACGAAAGTGATTAATTCAATAATAAATCATGTAAGCAACAAAATCAAAAATAGTATATAATCAAATCCAAATATTAACCATCATTTGCATCATTACGAATCAAAGCAATCGCGTATAAGACTGCCATCAATAATTTTCCATCAATTTTGAATTTCTCAGTAAGTAAGGTAACAAACAATTTCTCTTCATAACCTATAAATATTGCATATTTAATTTGTTAGATTTGTTAGAAAAGATAATATTTAGAATATATTCCTATTAAACATCTGAATTACCCTTATATGTATCTGGAAAATTCGTGTAATCTAACGCAAAAGTTAAAAATCTCATCAATTTGCGTTTTTCAACCAAAGATATAGATTGGTTGGTAAAAACATCCTCTTTAGAACATGGGACCTATAATTTTTAAAAAAGAAAAATATGAATTTCAACTCATTTTATTTAATATAGCATAGGTGGGCTGATAATCAGTAATTTTAAGATCACGTGATCTATGACAGAATCTGTCCACCTGTACTGTAAATCCGTAGCTAATCTCAAACCTTATCAAACGCGTCTACAGAATAAATATAAGTCTTATCCATTGCTTTAAATTCTAAATATTTCGCAACTCCAGAATTTATCAAGAGTTCAATGAGCTCTCCACGACAAGGTACCAATTTTGGAGCCAAATCCAAGCAGTATCGTTTCGACTCTTTTAATAAAACAGCTAAAGTTTCAATCCTTTCAAAATTGGACAAACTTGTGGACACATGACGTAAAGTTTCTTCTGATATATTTTCAGAATTTTTATGCATTTGAAGAAGTTGAGCAAGACGAGAAGATTCAATAGCAATAGCCTCTTCATTTTCACGCGTTCTAACAAGAATTTTTGATTTGAACTGTTCGGTAATCACGTTTGCAATAGTATCGTTTTGTTCATATTCTTCAGATGTAAGTAAAAATCTTGCTAAAGCATCATAATCTGGTTGAGTAATTGCAGAATCCACTATATTATCATCCTGATCATATTGCAAAGTTTCCTGACTTTCTACTTTTGGAACAGTTTCTGAATCATCATTTTCTACCAGAGGAATATCATCCACTTGTTTAGGAATTGGATAAATTTCATATTCAATTGTAGAATATGCTTGTTGTCGAACCTTTGTAAAATTAGTCATCAAGGCTTTTTTGCCTTCAATACCTGAACATGATAATGTTTCGAAAAATTATGATTTTTAATTTATAATATGTAGAACAAAAAAATTGATTAATCATTTACGTTCTTGACGTTCTTGACGTTCTTGATTGCTTTTATTTACTGAAAATTCAACAAATCCTGAAATTTCAATAATTTTTAATATAAAATTACATACAATAACACGAAATATTAAAGAAATAATATTCATTTTGACTAACCTTTAATAGATCGTGTCCATTCTAAAAGTTCTCTGAAATTAAGAGAGCTCCAATTCCCCCCATAAAAGTTGTTTGCATCTAAATGTAAAACCGACTTTCCAATTCTTGCCAAAGCCCTAAACATACATTTTTTTTTTTTTTTTAGTATTATAGTAATAATAAAATAAAAATATCAAGTTTAAACTTACCCAGCAAGAATTGATTCTATATAACCTGTCCCAAGGATAATAACGTCATATTCCGTTACTTCCAAGAGTTGAGGCATTATTCGTTATTTACGAACTAATACTTGTAGAATGTTCACTTTATTCTACGTACGTATGTGTGCGTGCGGTGCGTGAATTTGCAGCATAATTTAGGTTTCACTGCATTATGTTTCACATGTCCCACATGTCTCACGTTGTGATACTTTCAATCATCTCTTGAAGTTAACCAACGTTCGCAGGAAGCAGGGATACACTTCAACTCATTAAAAAAAAAAAGGTATGTATTCCTTGTTTTTTTTTTTTTTTTTTTACTATTAGAATAGTTGAAAAAAAACTAGATTTCGGCTAGCTAAAGCTTACTTGCCATGTCAGTGTTAAAAAAATAAAGACCATTCGCCGATGGGTTAACATGACAACGGTTAGAACAATACTTAGATATACGGTCAACTCTTTCCAACCCTTTCTGTACCGAACCCTCTTGGGCTTGTTAAGATGAATAAAAAAAAGTTCAGTTTAAAAAGTATAAACCGAACTTCATAATTTTATAATAAAATTTAAAAATTTTAAAGTTCGGTTTAGACAGATTTTAAATGTTCGATTTGAAAGAGAGTTGACTGTAACATTAATATTATTTACAAGAACAATGATTTTATTTTAATCTACCAACAAAATTATTTACCATTTTTAATTCTTTTTAAATTTTATGCGTTTAGGTTTCTTACCATTATACAACCATAGACAAAGGGAAATATTGATTTCTCCATTAACATTCATTAGCTTTTTTCCTTATACTTTTTTTTGAGAATCTTTTTCACCGGAGTTAGTCTTTTGTCTCCCACCGGTTTTTTAAGTTTCATCTTTCATCACCATACAAAAAAAAAGGGGTTTACCTAACGATTATAGATGTCACCACAAACAAAAAATAACACAGAATACAAACTTCAACGAATTCTTGATTATAATCAAAATCTTCGACAACAATTAGATTTACCTCGCGTAAAGGTGTCACATGCTAGCTCACTGTACGTTTAATTTAAATAACAAAAAAAAAAAGTGGATTCAAATTTCTTAATTACAATAATTTTAATTATTTTAATTACTTAAATAGGCTCATAGAATATGTCCAATCCACCAAGGATTACTTGGTACCATCAGTATGGGGTCCAGCCGGACCCGCTGACCCATTTGTGACGAAAAATAGAGTTTTTTGTGGAAGTTGTATTATTTCATAATGAAAAAAAAATAGGTGAAATATAGCAGATGGATAATTGAAAATTTGATAATTACAATTTAACATTATATTTACAACATTTTATCTTTCGCATTTTACATATTTTAATCTTTTAATCATATTTTATAATAAAATGTTTTAAATTTTAAGAGATTCTTCATTTTTTTTTTTTTTTCTTATGATAAATTTATCTATCCTTTAAAAATTATTATCAACCATTTTAGCAATAGCCAAGGAAGAAGTTAAACCTGGGCTTTCGATTCCAACCAATTTTACAAATCTATCAAGTTCATATTCAGTTTCTTCCTTTATCACAGAATCTCTGAATGGCTCACCTGGCCCCAATAATTTTGGTCTATATGTTAAATAAATAAATAAATAAATAAATTTTCATAAATTAACGAGTTGTGTAAATCAAGTTATTACCGAGTCACAGCATAAATTCTATCTTTTTTAATTATTTCACAGCATTAAAAAAATTGCATATTTCCTATTCTCATCATCACTCATTCCGTAATCATCTGGTCATTGAACATATAAAATATCAGGTCCAACCTAATCTGTAATATGGAATGGTTAAATTTTTGAATTATCTAAAGAGTTTAGTACTAATAAAGAATCTTTATAAAAGAATCATCAGAATCATTGTAATTTATTTGGTTAGAGTGGTTTGAAAAAAAAGTGAATACAAAAGTCGTTTCCATAGAAACATAATCGTGTTTTTAAACTATTAATCAAGTAACAAAGTCCAGAATGAATCATTTCGTTACTTCATGAGCTACATATACAAAAGATTAATATGAAATGAAGATAAAACAATTAAATAATGGTTCTACCACAAAATCCTGACATCCAAAATCTCGAAACCATAATCCAGACGTGACAATTAATACTTAAAGACGTTAACAATTATTGTTAGACTTTATTTTAATTGTCACATCGCGTGATGTCAGTATTATCACTTGTCGAAATTGATGTCGCCTGATCTCTAACGTGACTTAATCCTAACCCTCGATTTAGAATTTTAAATAATAGTAGTTACATTACCTTGTTTCTTAATTAACCATAGAATTCTTTTCAACTATAATAGGGTAGATTTTCCTTTTCTTTTGACAATCGTTCAGCAACGACCAATCCAACACCACCAATGATTAAGTAATCTACTGAAGTATCAAGAGGTTGTGAAGAACTAAAACTTGAGCCAAAACGAGAACTAAATTTAGTAGATAAAAAAAGACAAGTATTCCTTAAAAAGAAACAAGACATTTTAACGTGAAAAAAATATGTAATTTAAATGTCAAAGTATTTGAATGTGAAAAAATTTTCATTTACTACTATTATTTGTATAAGAAATGAAACCAGGTTTTAAATGCAAATTTAAAGTTAGTGAGATCAGAGACAAATTGTAACATCTATAATATCAATATATAACCTATTAATGTTAATGTGATCCGTATATAAATATAAATATAAAATAAAATGCCCTGAAGCACCCTAGGTTTAAAAGAAAAAAAAGTTAGTGCGGTCTTAGTGATTACGAGTACTAATGTGTATGTATGTACGTACGTATTTACTAGTGATATCGGGGAGAATTTAGTCTTGGTCAAATTGAACAAATCTGCAATTAAGGACGTTATTTCGAATTTTGCCCAGCATTAAGTTTAATTCGGGCCAAAATTCGAAATAACACCCATGCCCGCTATTTCGAGATTTTACGGTACATATCGATATACATAAGGTTGAAAATTACATTTACATATAAATTTCACACGTGATATATGAGTGCTGACAAGGGAAACCCTGTCATCGGGCTTTCAATTATATTTTTTTGCCATCTTGGGAAAATACAAATATAATTAAAAACCCGATGATAGATTTTCTCGAGGCGGCACTATGGAAACAAACTGAACATAAAATATAATTAAAAGCCCTATGACACGAAAAACCCAGTTAGCATGGATATCCTTATGTCCAGAAAATTCCGAGCTGCCGGCCAAAAGAATATGGGTCGTAGTATCTCAAAAATTCACTA